ACTCATTGCCCAGCTGCTTAAGAAAGGGAAGACAAGGAGTGTCAGCTACTGGGGACAGGCAGTCATGGCCCTCTGCTTGCAGGTGAAGGAGGAGTGTCGCTTACTCAATGCCCCACCTGTGCCTCCCCGAGGTGGCAATGGCAGCGACCGGCTCTCGGGCAGCCCCCCAATACCCCCTCGCTTCCCTAAGCTACAGCCTGTCCACTCGCCCAGCTCCAGCCTCTCCTACTACTCCTCTGGCCTCCAGGATGGGTGAGTCCCTTTCTTCTCTTGATCCTGGGTTCTCATAGGGAGGATTGAGGTAGGGGAGGGAGTACAGTGCTGAAGAAGATGAAGGCTTCAGGCCTGGGCATCTGGGGCCTGGGGCCCAGAGGCCTGCTGTGCCGCCTTCCCATTTCACTTATTTCTTTTCTAAACGATGAGGATGGGATGGGAGCATGGCTCTGGTTCCCTCGGCCACAGTATAGGGTGCTCCTTGCTTTTCTCAAGTTCTAATTTAATACGACTTAGTCTAATTTTCCACGCGTGTTTTCTCTCCCGGGTTGGGGGGTGGTTTGCTGCATTGTGTGTGACCCTGATGTGTTTCCTCTTGCTCTGCCTTTCCTGGCCTTTGTATGTGTGTCTGTGTCTCTGCCTGCAGGGTGGGTTCCCGCAGCGGCAGTGGCTCCCCATCACCAGATGCATACTCCCTCTATTGCTACCCATGCACCTGGGGAGACTGCAAGGTGGGCGAGTCCTCTAGCCGCCCGCCCCAAGGACCCCTGCCCTCTACTACGCAGCCCAGCCAGGGCCCCCGGGCCCTTGCAGAGCCACTGAGCAGTCGAGCTGCCCCACTCCTGGGGGCTGACACCCCTGTCAAAACCTATCCCAGCTGCCCGCCTCTTTTCAAGCCCTCGCACCCGCAGAAGCGCTTTGTTCCATTTGGAGCTCTCAATCCCTTCTCTGGGCCTGCCTATCCCTCAGGCCCTTCAGCGTCCTCCTCTGGGCCCACAGCCACCACAAGTCCCCTGGCTACCTCCAGCCCTGCATATTCCCCAAGGCCAGCCTCACCAGGCCAGGCCTATTCAGCTGCTCCCTACTCCTGTCCCACTTCCTCTTCCTCTTCCTCCGAGTGGCAGGAACCAGCCCTGGAGCCTTTTGATCCCTTTGAGTTGGGGCAGGGCAGTTCTCCAGAGCCTGAGCTGCTACGCTCTCAGGAGCCCAGAGCTGTGGGAGCACCTGGGTCTGGACCCCGTCTTTCACCACTTGGTCCCCTCAAGGCCTTTGAGCCTGAAGGTTTGGTGCTGCGGCAAGTCCCCACCCCACTGTCACCAGCTGCCCCCCAGGGGTCTGAGGCAGGAGGAGCACGCCTTTTTCTTACTCAAGGGCGCCTGGAAGGGCCTCCTGCCAGTCCCCGGGATGGACCTGCAGGCTTGGGAGGACGGGATGCCTCCTGGCAGCCCCCTGCTGACCTGTCTGCACTCTCCCTGGAGGAGGTCTCTCGCAGCCTTCGTTTCATCGGGCTCTCCGAGGACGTGGTGAGCTTCTTTGCCCGAGAACGCATTGATGGTAGCATTTTTGTGCAGCTCAGTGAGGACATCCTGGCAGACGACTTCCACCTCACCAAGCTGCAGGTCAAGAAGATCATGCAGTTCATCAAAGGCTGGCGGCCCAAGATCTGAACTGCGCAGCCTGAGCTGCACAACTGCAATGCTGGCATGGAGACCCTGGGGGCCAGCCACGGCTTGCTGGGGAATGGTACTCCCTGAGAAGCAGGTCCTGCCTGCGGGGAGGACCTAGGCCAAGACCAAGGCTGCTTGGCAGCCAGAGTGAATCTGAGGGAGATGCACTTGGAAATGTGGCTCCCTGGGGGTAGAGCCTTGCGTGGGACATCTTGCCTTTTGAGTGTCCAGAATATGCGGGAGGGCACCACTGTACACATGGGACTGCTGAGGCATTTGCTGCAATTCCCACAGCAGGGCCAAGAGCTTGCCTTTGTGGTGACATAACACCTTCCTGCTATAGACCTTCGCAGACATCTTGCACTTCTCAAGCTTGTACGTTCAGGTTAGGGACAAGGGAAGAAGATAGCTCTCAGTTTAAGCACAAATTTCCGAAGTGCCCACTCTCCTTTGTGCTCTGTGGGCTTTTGGCCTAAAGCTGCCCTAAGAGTCAGGGGTGTCGATTTCTGTTTCTCTGGGATGCCCTTCTTTTCGCCTCTGCTCCACTGTGATTGAGGTGGCTAGCCCTGAACACAGGTGGATTGTGAACAATCCTATCTCACAGCACCTTGCAGGCTCCACTTCTGGGTTCTGGTTTGTGGGTGATGGCTTTCTAAGAGCACAGCTCTGCTATGGACCTGTTTCTCTAGTTAGGGAGGCACATGCTCTTTAGACGTCTCTGGCACTCTGGCTTCTGCTCCGACATCACAGCAGCTAGTCATCTGTCCCGTTGAGGGGTTATCATAGAATACTGATTCCATGGTGGATTTAGGTCAGCTGGTCCTTGATTCTAGAAGCAAGTGCTGGCCAATCACCCTCACTTCTACCATCTCCTGCCCCCATCATTTGGCTCTGATGAACACTTTGGGTCCTTCTCTGGTTTTCTGCAGTCGGGAGGAGAAAGCACAGTGGCTTGAGAAAGCCTGCCTTTGGCCTTCCTCCTGGACCTCAGTCTTGCACTCGTTCACATGCTGCAGAGATCTTTGTGCCCTTCAGTTTCAAGTATGGTGATCTGCTTGGCACCCAGGCCTCTGATTATTGTGTACAACCCCCCACACCCATCCCACCCCGTCCCATTGCACCCGCCTAGAATCACAAAATAGCACTAGTGTCAGGGCCTCCAAGGCACCAGCCTTCTCTTCTGCCTTACTTAGTCTACCTAGGTATTTATTCTCTTAAGAGTAGCTAAGCCGTGCTTGTGCCTACACCCCAAACAGGCTGCCTCAACTCTGACAAAAGAGGGTTCAGAGAATAGAACACAGAAACTGTGATATAGAGACATTTGGTTTTCTTGCAGACCATTCAATGAATCCTCAAGGACTAGTGAAATAAATGCTAGACCACTAAAGAATAGTGCAAGTGGAATTCTGAGTGTCAGCTGCTGTCTTCTTTTTGGAGGGCCACGGGGACCCAAGAACACAGTGTATATGGCTCCGTGCAGGAACGGCTTTGGAATGGTGTGGGTATGTGGCCCTTTCCATTGTCCCAGAGGCAGCTGATAGCAGTCTTTGTTCCCTTCTGCAAGTCCCTCACTATTCCCTCCCTGCCCTATAAGAACTCTCCAACTCCTCCTTGTGTTTTGAAATAACTCACACATACCTGGTTGCTGAAGGGTAAGACCCAGCTGTTGATGCTCAAGGCCATCAGCCAGGGCCCAGGTTTCTTCCTGCATTGGCAGAATGCCCACCTCGGGCTCTCTCAGACTCCACATTTAGAAGCCTATTAATGGCCTTGGTGCAAAGGATCAGTTCTCTGCTGTCTGTTGGTCATCTGAAAACCTCAATTCAGAGATGACTGGGTTTTAGGGTCTAGCTTCCTAGCAACCAACAGTGTTTACTAGAGCCAGAGCTAAGCTCCCTGCCTGCTAGTCCCAGCTACAGAGCTGGAACCAAGAAAATACTTCAAGTACTTGCAACTGGAGCAGAAGCAGGAGTAATTGGTCAGATCTGACAGTTTAGAATGCAGAGTGTGGTGGGACTTGAATTATGATTCCATACACACTCAGTGTGGATCCTTCTGCCAAACCCAGTTGGGAGCCCTAATGCTGTTTACCCAGACTGGGCACTGTTGCCACCAGAATGTGAGTACAGAAACTTTCCACACTAGGGGGTGGGGTGCGGCGGGGGAAGAGTCGAGGCTGTGGCAGAACACAGGTGGTGTGGGGCCCGTCAGCATCCCTGCACCATTCCTGTACGGCCTCTCACCACTGCACAGGCATCTTCCCTGCTCTGGGGCAGCCATGCCATGCACGATTGGGGAAATGTCAGCTCCCCTGCTTAATTCTTAGCACAGACTTCCTGAGAAGCACCTGCAAATGACACCAAGAAAAGAAAAGGGTAAAATCATACAATGAGGAGTCCAGTTAGGACAAAAACTACCTTTCATGTCATGGTATGCCATACCTATCACATTTTTGCCGCTCAAGTCAACTAAGGCCACTCCCTTCTGGTACCCAGATGTCCAGCCTAGCATTTAAACAGGTTTACGTGGCTTTAAGGACACCAAGTCCCACTTTCCATCATCATGGTTCCTTGCCCAACATATTTTTCCAGAACACAGCTTTTTCTAACAGCTCATTTCTTGAAGGAAGGGGTTTAAACCAGAAAGGCAGAGACAGAAGAAGAAAAAGTGACAAACAGGCACAAAGGCTGCTACAGAGCTTGGTTTTTATTGTTATGTATGTTTGTCCTTACCACCATAGGCCACCCAGGCCTCCAGGGAGGAGCAGGCAGCAAAGACAGCTCCAGATGGCTCTATGCTGCCATTCTGGGCCTTGGGGCTTATAAAATGAGCATGGTGGGTTCCACCTTCCAACATGAAGTGTAAACTCTATTTCACAGACTTCATCAAGAGGGAGAGATGGCTGAAGGCACTTTGAGCAAAGAGCAAACCCAATGTCCGAGTTCATCTTCCTTCTGGTTACTCTGATGAAGTCTGGACACCACTCTGATAGAGAACCAGCACTGCTGGCAGCTGGGGCTAGTGCGCCAACTCGGCGGGGCAAAAGCCCCACTCACTGGTAGAACTTCTTGTTAGGATTGTTGGCGTAGTCAATTAGCAGCTGGCATGGGGTGAACTGTTTTCCATAGGCATCCTCATACTTCCTGAGCCGGTCTGCTATCTTCTGAGCACCGTACAGATCTGTGAATCTGAAAGGCCCTGAAGGGAGAAATAGGATTTTGTTGAAGGAGACAGCAACATGAGCTCTAGAATAAAGAGAACTACCTGCCCATCCTGCAAGACCAACCTCCAAGACAAGGTGGGAAGCCGAGCCCAAAGACTGCTCCAATGTCTCCCTCTGCAGGTGTGGCCAAGATCCCTTCCTGCAGGCACATGACTGCCTCATTCACAAATCTTGTCAACAGGCGGTACTGGATGTCTTCATCAGAGGAG